TATCAATTTAGTTTCATAAATGATTCACTTTCAGTAATGAATAATTTACTGATAAATAAAAGTCAACATTTTCCAAAACTAAAAATGTATTTCTGATAGATACTTACATCTGGTTTTTCTGATTCAGTGCTGCCCTCTACATGCATTTTTTTTTTGCTTGCCACTAGTCTTGAGGCTCCCATCTGAACTCAAGTGTTTCCATGTGATACTATTGCATTATTGCATGCAACAAGCATGCACTAACAGGTGGTTTCAGACTGTGCATCAATATTATTCCTTGACTACCCTTGTGTCCTTTCCAAGCCCCTTCTCTTCCAGTTGCTGTTTCCTATCCTCCTAACTCCTTTCTTCTAGCTATTTTTAATCCTGTTCCTCTTCTACCATCCATTCTTCCATCATCTGTAGGTTGCAGCACCAACAGTCTCATCAGTGACTACCATCTGGGCTCAGGAACAGTGGGGGCCCATTTGGCTTGATTTGAACTCGTGGATTCTTTTGTGGTTGACAGTTGACGGCTGCAGGCTATATCTGTTTGCTTTACCCTTCCTTTCTTTTCTCCTCCTCCTTTGTATACTGTTCCTATTCTTTTTTTTTCCCCCTCCTACAGGGGATTCTGTCTCCCCCCAGAATTTCTCCAATGTGGTGTTAGACCTTTTGGCCAAGGATGCTATCGAAAGAGTGTCTCACCCATCTCTAGATTTATATTCTTGTCTGTTTGTCCTTCCCTGGTACACCAGGGATTAGCATCCAGTCATTGTTCTGTGGTGAGGAAAAAAGTATGTATATAGAGGGCAGCACTGAATCAAGAAAATTAGCTGTAACTGGAGGTTATGTATCTTATGAGAAATAATATTATACTTCATGTGTATAGTATCAAGAAATCATTCTAAAACCTCTTATTGCAAAATATAAGCAAAGGAATTTCAGGAATCTGTTTACACCAGCACATTTTAAAATTAATCTTTAACACTACAAGTTCTGTGTTGGTCCGATGTATCAACCTCTGTCTCAGTGATGATATACATAATAATATTTACTATAATTCTGTATTTACAAAGTATATCTTAATGAACTTTGGCTAGCTTTTAGTAAATATTACAAGTCTGTTGCACACAAAAAAACATATTTTATAACAAATTATTTTTAAGAAAGTTTTGTCTGTACACTTCCCAACCTATTACTGAGTCAGTCAGAGTGTAAAGTGACTTTCACATCATGAATTAGAATACTTTTTTCCTCATACAGTTCTCATATTAACAAAGTCTCTAGAATATCATAAATGAATATTAATATTTTTTATCAGTAAAACTTTGTAATTTATCTCTTATCTTCTCTGTCCTAATATTAATTGTATGAAATCATTGATATACAGTAAAATGAAAAGTTGGAAAATGCAAAATAAAAGGAACAGTACCTGTTTTGTATTCTTTGAATGCATATTTTATCTCAAATTTTCAAGTTACTTATCTTCACAGTTTTAACTGTCAAACTTTTAATATCTATTTTCTTTCAATTTCATGGCTTTATTGACTGTATTTTGGACCACAGGAAAAATATATTCCCCATCAAAAGACTAAATCACAAAAGGAGCATATTAGCTGTTTCCTGTAGAGTATATGTTATTTACACATAATTTTGTTCTCAGCCAAAGGATCACTGAATCTCACAAATGTGAGTCTCCAAAAAATAATTCATGTATCTTTCAAATATGCATTCTAGAACACAAAAGCTTTATTAGTCATTAGCTTTATTAGTCATTAGACAGTAAGCTATAAATAGGTCAAACTATTCCATTAGACGTTCAGAGCAAGATCACCAACTTTTCACACCAAGAAACTATAGCAAACTGTTATTCAGTGGGTGCCAAAACCTATTGCTGTAATAAGCATTATATAGAGAGAATCTGCTCATTTTCTTGGTTAAAATACATCCATCAACTCTGTGAAGTTAGAGAAAGAGGGGGGAAGGGGATTTTCAGATAAATTTTATATGTCAGTAAATCAAATAAACAGAAGAGTGAAATGTTACATTATTGCTTGTAATTATGCTTAGTTTTTTAATTAGTTGGAAGCTCTACAAGCCTATCACTGAAGTCTGATTTTACGAATTCAGAACTCAGACACATCACGTAACACAAAAAAAATAAAGCTTGATAATTATTTAATGTTTCTTTTTGAAATTAAGAAATCAAAACTCAAATAATATAAACAGTTTAATTATACATTTTGTTTGCATCCCAAGTTTACTAACATACATTGATAATAAAGTAGTTTAATTACATTTTGAATGTAACACTGTAAAATGTTAATGGCTCTGCACTTTGACCCAGCAATAACAATAGGGTTAACCTATTACAAGTTGTTAAAGCATTGATTAAAAACTACATAAGCAATTTCATTTCTGAAAATAATCATTATAGCTACAATATTAAATACACATGTTCTGTCTCAAATATATACATGCAGTAACTCTACTCCAAAAAGAAAAGTGTACAATTTTAAATCTGTAAGTTACCTCAGTCTTTTGTATTACTTCACCACAGTTATTTTCTTCTCCCTCTTCTGCTACAACACTCTCATGAACAGCACATGAACCTCCTTTACATAAGAAGGAAGATTCCCCAGTTGCTAAAGGTATTAATGACATTTTTATTTTTAACAGCACATACAATGGTAATTTAAACATCAATAAATTATAATAAACAACCTAGTTATGAAGTGTACCAGAATACAGCTGATGCAATTTTTACCCAAGTTAACTTCTTCACACCTGGATGATTACAGTCCACCTTGAGGGCAAAAACTGCAACACTGAATTAAAAATAAAATTCCTGAAAATCAATTTTCCATACATAGAAATATGAAACAATTTCAAAATTGAAATTAATTCAATAAAAATATTTATTTATTCAATTTTTCTGTAAACTTGTTATGCCACTATATTGTAAATGAAAAAAATTTGAGGAGTATTATAATTTCTTGAGAATAAGCTAGGTTTTTTATGTGACATATTTGTTGTGTATATGTGTATGTACATAAAAAATATTGATGTGTGAATGTTTTAAAAGTCTATTGTATTGTAAACAGTATAAATACAAAAATGCTTTGTTTTTAAAACTATGCCAAAGTGATTTTTGTACCTGAACCTTATTCTATATCTAACAACCCACTGATTGTATTTTTTTAGGTTTATTCCCGTTTTGCTTACTCCCATTTAGTCTATTGCCAATGGGAGCAGACAGACTGAGATGTTACCGAAATTAAGACACATTAGCCATAAGGCCAAAACGTTTTAGATATATGTTACATCATTTTTTATTTTCATTACAATATGACATTTAGTTGAAATACATAATATACTGTCACCAAGACACAATTTGGTCCTTCAAGGCTGTTCCTACAAACCTATTACTATCAAATAGTACAAACTAACTCTTTCAGCATGGGCTCCATCCCTGGGACCAACCTTGTAACCATTTTGTGCTTGTTATAGTTTTCATACTATAACTTTTAAATTAGTAAGCAAATGTTAATGAAATTTGGCAGATTATCAGTAAACATTACTATGCTTTCATACACAAAATATCAAATTTTTTTATTAAGTCTTAAGGTTTATAAAGCAATGTTTTTCTAATATCTTTTTTTCCTTTTTGTATCTTGCCTATCTATCATGCAAAGTAATATTCATTTTAACAATAAAAATACTTTTTATGCATCAGAAAATTTTCAAATTTCACATGCAAAATCTTTATAACATCCAGATAGCTATCAAATGTTTCTTAAGAAAAAAAACCTTATATCTTATCTGTTTTAAGAAAATAATCTTTGTATGGGTTTGGTATATCTGACCAATCACGCAACCAGCATAAAAAAATCAGGAAATAAATATAAATTATGCCTCTTTCATTTTAGAATGGCAACAAATTATAACACGAAAACATAAATGTTTAGACTAAATAGCTTAAATCTCATAACATTATACATTTATTATTTTTATTATATTTACCTTTCAGCTGGCTAACAA